GAGCGTCGTCGGGCTTCCACGTGAGAAGGGTGGGTTTCGCGCGCGTGTGGAACGTGTGGATTGTATAACACGATAAAGTCACACGGTGTGTAGTATAACGACGCGTCTCTTCAACTCTTCTTTCCTGCCTTAAGTATCCCTCGCGCCTTACCCCGACCTTCTGAGTCGCTTACCTCGCACGCGTTGAACACCTTATTCTGAAATAATCGTGACAAACAAGATGCGCTCGTCAAACGACATTTCTTTCTTCTCTCTCTCTCTCTATCTCTTTTTCCATCTCGCGTCACGACATAAATAACGTTTCCGAGGCGCACATTTCCTGAAAGCGACGCTACGTGTTGAAAATTCATAATTTTCTAATCTGCATTCGCTTTTAAACGTTTCACGCAGCTGTTGATAGTCCGCGTCTCTCTTTACTGCAATCATGATGGATCTAAGAAACATGTAAAATGTGTATATTAATTAAAAACACTATTAATGTAAAAAATTTTTCTTAAAAATATAAAATATTTACAACAATTGTATTTTAAAATCTGTCATCTTTTTCTCGATCAAAAAAGGCAAAAATTATTGCAACTGCCTGAAAAATCTCATTTGTTAGAGCTGAGATTGCATCATCGTGAACGCTATATATAATGTGTAACTTCACAATTAATTTCTTTGACTTTCTCGTAGATCTCCTCGCACGTCACGAATATGTGTCTCGCGCGATGGTAAAGTTATCGATTAAACATTTACCAGTTTCTTCGTTATGTAACCGTTAAATCTCACTCAGCTACAGCGCGCATCGACCTTCCTCCTGAATCTCCTCAAATGTGGAAGTTATGAAATTCTCGCTGACATCGTCGCACGCATTATTAATCGCGCAACCGCCCACCGAGCATTCATTCGCGGGGCAATGTATCGTTGACGCGACATAGATTACACGCTACCCTTGCGCTTCGATAATTTTTAGAAATTTATTGCGGTCTCGCTCGCAAAGCGAGAGAAAATGAAACAAGAAGGGAACGGAAGTTAAAGTCTGCGGGAACTATCGTGTGCGTTCTGTGAACAATCGTTAAATCTGATTGATTGATTGCTCCTCTATAATACGCTTCGATTTTTACCTTTGAAACTTTTGACGTCGCGATTCGTATCGCACGACATTAATTTGCTGTCTTATCTATGACTATGCTTACACATCACCCTTAATTGGATTTAATAACATTGGTAATTCTAAGGCTAGCTAATCATAGTCATTTCATTCTTCAGAGAAATAGCTATGATTGGCCAGTTTTAGAACTATGGATTATTAAATTCGATTAAGGAGGTGACGTATAAACGTAGTCTGTTTCTCTGTTTCTCCGTTTCATAATAAAATTGATTTATTTAAGTCCTCGCGGCGGAACTGCAACCCGTAAAGTGTTTAGGAACGATGATATATATCCCTTTTTTATTTTACGTAATTATTTTATGACCAAATAGAAAATAGAACACATTTAATTTTACTTTAATATTAAATATATCATTAGAGAAAACATTTAAAACATATTACGGCAAATATTATATAATATAATAATAATTTAACAGTCCGTTGTACATTATGCGTAATTAGCAAAGCGACTATCAATCTAATGATATCGCGGAATTAGTATATTTACATTTTTCGTCTGCAGCCAAAAAATCTCATATTTTTGCATATTATGCAGATATTTTAAGCATTTTAACAGGAGATTAAATTTGCATATTTCATATAATAAGCAAAATTAGTTCTAATAAGCAATGACCCAAAAAATGTCATTTAAATCATTTCTGTTGACATTTGTCATCTCATTTCGACGAAAATTAATGGTGCGATAATAAATATTATTAGCTAAAAGCACGTTTATTACGAACATTTTGCGCGTTGAAGCTGCACCCCGTAAAGTGTTTAAGAGAACGACGATATATATCCTTCAATTATTTTATTACCAAATAATAGCACACACTTAAAGTTATTTCTTTCACGAGACTGCAACGGACATATAAAATCGTAAAACTAAATGATTGCAGAAAAGGTGAGGAAAAAATAAACTCTTGCATAATCATATAGTTGCCAGTGTTTTTTTACGATCTCAAATGTTATCCTCTCTACCTGTTAATCTTTTTCGATCGTAAAACCTATGAAGAACGGAAGTGACCCGGTTTTTATTGACAATAAAGAGCACTCATGCGGAATGTTATCCACTGCAAAGAAACGTGGATATCGTCTTATCTCTAACGTACGTTCAATTCTCTAAACTGTCACCGAAATAAATAAGCGCCCCTCAGCGAATAATCCATGTATATTTTTGTAATGGCATATAAAAAAACCAACATTTGTTAAAATCTCTGTTATCGTTGTTGTTATAAATTAATTTATTTTATTTTATCTTTTCATTTATTTTATTTATCTATTATATAAATAATTTTAATTGGCGAAATAAAACTGTTTTCTCTAGGTAATAATTACATTTTAAAAAGTATACATTAAAGAATATACCTGCACTTTAAATTTTAAAAATAATTCATGCTTGTAAAATATCTCTCTCGCGCTTATAATTCGTCATAATGTCCCTTCATTGTGCAAATTTCAACATTGTAATGTTTGCAAAAAATGCGCATAATTTCGAGATATATTTTCGTTGCGTTGGATAAATTTTTAACAGAGCGACGATAAGTGTATAGAGCGCGGGGGTTTCGCTAAAATCTGTTTCGAGTCATTAAAAAGGACTTTAAAGAAAGAAAGGAGAGCAAATGTTGTAAGGAGTCACAATGGGGCAAAGGATAAATAAACAAAAAAAAAAAGAAAGCCGTTTTGAACGCAGCGGACACACCTATCTAATTGAGCGGCGCGCTTAAAACCTCGCAACAAACGCACAAAGAGAGAAAGAGCGAGAGAGAGAGAGAGAGAGAAAGAGGGAGAAGTAGAGTTACCCCCGCAGGCTAAATTGCGTTAGTTGAAATCCGTTTACGCTAACTCTAATGGCGAAAGCGTGAGTCGCATGCGGCATCGACACCAAAACATCGGTCGAGAACCACCGCTCCAGCGAGGAGGGTGCCTCTATTCAATGAATAGAGCAGCGTGTTTATTCGTTCGGTCAGTTTTTCGATCGTCAAATATTGGCACCGAGCGCTTGCCTTCCCGGTTCACTTTTCGATTCGATTTATTTTGCCCATCATACGATACGTGCAGCGCGGATTGTATAGCGTAACCTACGGCGAGAATTCGATGCGAGTACGCGTAGTACAATATCAAGACTTTTAATTAACGACAATTGATATCTATAACAATCGAGCAAAGTCAATTAACTCCGTCATTTATAGGTAGAGGGTGATGCGGACTACGCGATCGAATTTCACATTATTTGAATTTACATGATGCAACGGCATGTTACATCGGGTATCGGTATATAATAATGTACGTAATTGAATTCGTATCCATGTGTTTAATAATCAATGGCCACGCAATAGCTTGCGCCAGTATATAATCAAGTAAATATATCGATATTACTGACAAAATAGGTAATTGCGTGAATAATAAATAATTCTATGCACATTAAAACATTTATATATTAGCAGATTGTCAACAAAATATTTCAACAGCTAATACATATAGTATTAGCAGAGATTAAGAAGGCGCAAATTGTGCGCCAGTATACATTATACTATAACAATATTAATTGTAGACTGAGAAAATAATGGATGTGATTAGAGACGTAGTGCGGAATCGAAATTTCCGAGCCGCTCGCAAACTCCAATGTCAGCTATTTCACGAAGGAAATTATGGCTGTGTGTCTCTCGATGTTCTCCGCGGCATT